GCTTTAAAACACTCACATCATTATCTACAGCAAGTTGTCTTAAAGAGTTCCCTGTTACCATTCTCATTTTTGACTCAATTCTCTCCCCCAGATGCTTGGTTTCATAGCTGTTTCTACCCTTCTAAAACTTGCTATGCTTAAAAAAATAAAACATATATATATTTGCATTTCAAGTAGTGTCCAACACACCATTCCTACAGCCCTGATGCCATCAGAACCAGAGGCTGCAAGGATAACTGAAGGCAGAATGTACTTGTAGCAAGTAACTAACAGAGAGCAGGCGTCCACAGGTGTTGGGAAGGATCAAAGTTTGACAAGGAAGTCTCACAGATATGTATGCTTAGCAGAAAGATTTTTGAATGTAGAATCTGAAGAAAGAATAGAGATGGAAGCAAGTTTTGATATAGAAGAATTGCTGAGCCAGTCTTACTGGCTAACCAAGGTGGCAAAGGGTGTGTTAGTTAGAAGTGGGTTAGTTAGAGTCGGTTTTTATGACTTAGAGCAAAGGATAAACCCACCTCAAACAAGATGATGTTTTCAGCAAGCAGAAAGCTAGCGCAGGCAAACAAGCCCATAGATGTTACAAGTAGAAAAAAGGTCTCAGAATTTTCCACTGCAAGAAAACTGAAAAACAACTTCTATCTTAAACTGTAATGTACTAACTTCTAGTGACTGGAGAACAGTAACATGAATATGGTAATTATAGTAGTTATGATAGGCTATAGATAATAGTTAAGGTATAGATTGGTTCTACTGTATTAAGATGCTCAGCAAAAAAAAAGTATAAAATGCATTGTAACCAAAACCAAAGGGTCTCCAGGCCTACCTGCAGCTGGAGCTGACAGCTGTGGGCACAGGCTCTGTCGCCCACGACCCTGGATTGCTGTAATGACTTGGATGGAATAAACTGCATTTTGGAGAGCCACCTGGAGCCCTGCATCTCTTATTTCGTCTCCTACACACAGGCACACCTCAAGAAGTGGGAAACGCCAGAGAAACAATCAGACTAGACATGCCTGTGAGTCTGAACCTGTAGGAGCCTGCTGAAATGCTTTCAAAAGTACAAATTCTTCATTCTTTAGAAATACAGCTGAAATGAAAGGTTTGAAGTAACAGCCAGCAATGATCAACATTGAAGGGGAAGACACCCAGTACCTAAAGTACCAATTCTACAAAAATAAACTCGGATTTCTGGCCTACAGAAAAGCTCACAAAAAAATTATGAGGGCAAATATGGGATGCACATGCTCATGGAAAAACAGTCATCAGCAGGAGAAATTCCTGATCCGTATATTAACCCCTTTTGACTATTTTGATCATGAACTCCCAAAATGGAGAAGCACTGCACTGAAATTTTGTGCATGTATGCAACAGATTTGTAACAATTAAAAGAAAAAACACCTCAGTACAAAAATAATGAAAAAAAGGAAGGGAAGAGATCAATATCCTCACCAAAAAAAGCTCCATCATTTAAGGATTCAGAGAGTAAATGAAGATTTATTCATCATAAAATGTCAGTGATTTAGATGGAACTCATCTCACCAATTCTTTTGTTAAAGGAGCTGAAAACTGTCACCTATGACCAATGCTTCCAGAAATTGGCAGGAGGGTAGAAGGGAAGAGAAGAAAAGCATAAGCACACATTTAATCCCCATCTCCTGCTAGAGAGGGAGACTTATAAATTCAGGCGATCACAGAGATGCAGTGGGAAACATTAGAGTTTTAAAAAGATGCTAAAGGTCAATCCATTCAAGAAATTTATGGAAAATTTGATAATACTGAGCTACCCCAACCAATCCCTCACATTCAGGTCAAATTTCAATTATTGAGAGACCTTTATGTCAGGGAAAAATAATTCTCAGCATTGGTAGCATATGCCCTGTCAACATAAATCACAAAAACTGGATATATATGCATCCATGTGTAGTTCTCAAGTCTGCAGTTAGAAAACTCTCCAAGTACCATATTGTACTTCCAGAGCTTAAGAAATGTCCTTGATTCTCTTGCTTGACTGGATTAGCTTTACTTTCTCTCTCTGTGAACATGTCACAAAAGGTTGCACAATTCCGTTACTCTGCAAAATCTCTTACATCTCTCTAGTGGAATTACAAGCACTTTTCTTCAGGTCCACAAGTAAAGTACTTTTCAAACCAGAGACATTTAGGCCCCGCTTATATTATAATATGCAAGAAGCTTAACAACAAAACTTTCTTTCTTTCCCTTCCCACTCGTCTCCAGGTCCTGCAAAATTTTACTTCATGGAGGAACAGAAGATGGAAATTAATGCAGAGGTTTGGTATGTATAACATTTAATATATATGTTTAACACATAATAAAATAAAGCTTCTAAAAGTATTATAGATACAAGCTTTTTTTCTGATTTATGTTTATTTTTTTAATGTGCTTTAACTGAAAGCATTAGAAACACACCCCAAGAAATAAAAAGTGTCAGCACATGACAATACCTCAATTATTACACCTGGTTAAAGAATACAGGCTGCACGTTGCAGAGATTTTAGAGAGAGGCAGATACATTTTCTCCATAAAGGAAAGCATCCAGGGAGTTTCTTCATATGCCAAAAAAGCCTGCCTTAAGTCCCATCCCCTCTCTCTTAAAGGGCTGTTTAATGCTGCCTTCTCAGTAATGTCACCTGGTGATTAGAACAGTACAGCAGCAGCCAGGGAGAGCAAGAGCTATGGCCTAAGTAAGTGACCTTTTGGGAAAGTGTTTGACAAGAGCCATAGTGCTACTTAAGGGAAATGCTGGTGGTGTTGTTGGAAAAAATGTGCAAAGAGCTTCTACCATAAATGTCAATTTAGAAAGTCACATCTGTCACAATTGTGTTCATTTTCACTCAATTTACAGTTAAATTTAACTATTAACATCAAAGAAAGGAAATACATTCATCACAAATTTTCCAGCAGAGAGAGGCTGCATTAGAGAAAAAAAATGTGCACATTCCCACCAGAATAGTAATTGCAATAAAAGAAATACTGAGGACGTTACCTATGAAAATGTGAACATCTTTGATGCATAGCAAACAGCACTTGAGCTTCACAACACACTGCTTCTCAGCAATGTGTGGCATTTTTGTCCAACACCCATAAAAACTCCCAAAATGATGCCCTGAAACATGTCATACTGTAAGGTTTCTCTTTAAAACTAGTAGCTGAAATAGTAGATGCAAAAAATCCAGATAAATTTTTCAGAGTTGTACAATCCAAACTTCAACACTAAATAACAGACAGCAGAAACATACACAATTACTGCAGACCATGCTTAGCAGCCCTTACAGGCCAAGGTGCAAAATTAACACTTAACATTGACTGCTTTTCAGCTAAATTTCAGTGCATTTGGCTGCACTGAAAAACAACAAAAAGATACTGAACAACACCAGTAAGTCAGGCTTGAATACCATGGCACAGAAACAGATTCTTAAATGTGTAAAAATGAAGATGCAGCAAAGTTTCTGATGTGCCAGGAAACAAAAACATCAGTGTTTATCAAGGATAGCTTATCTTTGATGGGATTTTCCTACTTCATTAAACAGTCTCAGTTATGTATGTTTTATCAAAACAAGCAAATTCCTACAACAAATCCAGCCCTGAGGAGCAGCGCTGGAGGTGTCAGTCCTGTTCAGCAGTGAGTGTTACAGTCTGCAGGAGAGCAGAGCTCCAGGCTAGCTCCTGTTTGCCTGCATTTTCTCAGACTGATGGCTTCTGAAGTTTATCCTCAAAATCCTAGTTGATAGCCAAAGGTGAACACCAATGTCTGAAATATTTTGTTTCTTTACCATAATAAGAAATAACGTTCTTGATTTTTATTTGTCAAATATATCTAATTGGAAAACACAGGATAATCCTGGTGGTGTTGGTTAAAATTCTGGTCTTTGGGCTATGAGCTCTGTACTTTTGATCTGGATATTGGTTATTCTTTTATTACTACTCTGTGACAAAGTACAGAACATGCATTAAGAATTCTTTATCCAGGTGAACAAGAATAAAATTCTATTTCAGCTTGACATGGATAGAGAACTGCAGAGAAACTGGTTTTTCCACTGGAATGATCTGCTGTAGCAGTCGGCCACATGCTTTAAATGTGACTGACATGTCTCTGAATTTAATGTGTCATCTGCTGAGTTCGGGATCTGCTGTCTATCTCTCAATGTGTAAAAAATGAATTGCTTCAAAATGATTTATTGCCAGCAAAATAGAATGTGAAAACAACAATAGAAACAGTGTTGTAAAGGTATCCTGCATTTAATAGCACTGTTTGATGAGTAAATTATTTCAGAAATATAATCAAACATTCTTATTGTGAAACTCTAAGGCTTGATAAAGCAATTGCACAGTCTGGTATCTGCTTCCTGACTTAAAGAGCTAATGCCAGTTAAGAACATGGAGAAATGCAGCATTAAATCCCAGGTTTCCACTGCTGTTTGTAAATCTGTGCAGAATATATAGGGTTGTATTTTCAGTACCAATCTCCAGAATTAATCTCTCTGCTTTTATCTTTTGTCCTTTTTCCCCCTCTCCTGTGAAGTATCTACAGAGACATCTTTAATAAAGGAATTTAGTTTTTATTTTTCTACAAATGAGTGGCTTGCTTTATAAACCTCATCGGTGTACAAGCCAGCAAAAGCTTCATATATAGAACTATTTTCAAAATATCAGGGGCAGTCTCTCAAAAAGAACAGCTTACTCTTCAAAAATGTTAAAAATAAAAATTCAATACATCAGTAATAATGCTTAATACTTTTACCTTAGAAAGATTAACATAAATGTTAAAAGTCAGTGATGACTGGAGGTAAAAGCTTCAATTATTTGAGAAGTTAAAGCATAAATATAACTGAACATGAGGACTATTATGCTTACAAGTAGCTTAAAATGAAATACATCACATGGCATATTGAATCACACTCAGTTTCCAAAAGCAGCAATTCAGTAAAGTTCCATAAAGAATATTTTGCACCCTTTAAAAGCAGAGTGTAAACACCTACCTTCTGTTCTCAGAATGCATTCATGCCATCCACACCATTGTTATTCACCAGAGCCATTCCTAGGGCACAAACAGAAGACACTCAAATAAAACTACTGGCCTTTTTTCCTGTCATGTATGTCACCAAAAATACCATCAGTAAGAAAAACAAAGGCTACACATTATTAGGTGTCCTTGGCTGTTAACATAATTCAGTTTGGTTTTCTTTTAATCTGGAGTAAAGTAACTCTTTGCTGATTAGCCCTTAAAGGAGTCAAGCTTATAGCCAGCATTGCTACTGGACCTTCCACCTTCCCCTTCAGGTGTCTTCTGTCCAATATTTGGAATTAAAAACTCTAAAATGAGTGAAACATGGTTGCACCTATTAAAAAACCTATGAGATTGACCCAAGCAAGCAAAGAGAAATGAGAATAAAATGTTTCTTGCTTGGGTTTTTTTCCTCTTCTAGTAATTATCAGTGCTTACTTTCCACTTTCTTCTGCTAATTACTAATGATGGGGAACACAAGCAGTTCCTGTGTTTAAGGCTCATTTTGCCTGAAATGGTTTGTTGCTGTTTGGTTTTACAAGGAGCCGAAGTAGTGAATACAAACGGCAGTGGTAGCTTGCCAAGTCATTGAAGGTTATTTTAAATACTGACAACATCCAGCTTCTTGACAGGACTTAAATTTATCTGCTGCCTTTCAAAATATATTTTTCCCTGTTTTGTGAACATTATCACACTATTCTACCTGCAGAGGAAATCTGACATTTTAATGACTATTAGTCACAGAAAGAAGACTGGAAGCAGGGAGGGAAGATCATCTTTCTGAAATATTTATCTCTTTTTCAAAAAGTATGCAGAATTTTGGAGGGAGTCACTGTTTGCTTCTGATATTCATTAAACTAATAACACCTGGAGATAAATAGATATTGCCTAGGCCCCCATCATTAGTCAAAACTTCAAAGGGCAACTGGAATCACCTGTGATACATGGCACTTAATTATTGTCACACTTTAAGCTAGACAAATAATCTTAGAAAGGAAAGTGCAAACAAACACAGTGCAACACACCAATGATATGCCAAGAGTTATCCATAGGGTTAATTACAGACTTGACCATTCCATGTTGAACTGAAAGTTGGAATGGTTTTGCTGGACCTTAGGTACTACCTGGAGTAGCCTGCCTAGTCAAAGATTATTTGTGACCAGCAGAAGTACATTCCATAGTAAAGTTAATCAAAGTACAGATGACTGACAACCACATTCCTACATGACACAGAAAGGAAGTACTCAGAAAAAACAAGGCCAAATGTTGGACAACATGCATCCAACTTGCATGTGATTGCAAATTTAACTCAGAATAAGCTGTTTGGAACTGTACTGGTGGTGACTTTCCTTTCACTTTTACACCTTGAAGGATCAAGACTGCTCCCAGCCTCTCTCAGTCTGAGATTGTGAAAGAATTCCTTATCAGAATGAGAATATAACCTTTGTGATGCTAAATGCATTCTCTTAAGGGGCAAAGAAATCTATTTCATGTTTGATAAAACATGAAATAAACTAATTTGACTTAGGAATCTAAATATTTTCTTTTTCTTATGTACAGGTCACAATGTTGCACTGAGAATACAGTGCACAGATCACTGAAATCTGGTTTGAATTTGTGACCTCTTATTGCTCACTCCTTTTTCTCCACCTGCCTCAGAACTACAAGGAAGAAAGGCTAGAGTTTGGAATTAGAGCTTTCTGTTCCCTGCACCAGTTTCAGCTGCTAGCAGTGTAACCACAATTCTCAGTGCAAAAGCCTAAGCTTAATATTCAGACATAAAAGGAAAAGTGAGGTTTGGGAGTGCATTTCACCTTCCTTCATTGAAAGGGGAGGGACTGGATAAAGCACAGAGAATTTATTCCCAATCACTAAGTTATAATAGTATTACACTTCTGTTAAAACTAAACCAAACCCACTTGGACTAGTGGCACTGTCTGCACATGTCATTGCTAGGTGACATGAAGTGTGCACAGACAGCTGTCTGCAGCACTGCTGTGCTAGAGCAACACTTTCATAGCTGATGTGTTTCCTCAAGTACAGGAAGCAGATTAAACAGAGAATTTGAAAACAAGTTTTTACCTTAAAATCTAGATTTTTTTCTTTTCCAGTTTCTTTTTCCTTACCCTCCTCTATGAGTAAGGCTCCAGAGCCCATGATGATAATTAAGTTCATCACAGTAATTTCAGTTTTGCCATTTCCCTTCTTGGCTGCATATATCTGGCTCTGAAGTACAAACCTTGCATTTTGCTCGATTGTTTTTTATTTACTTCAACAAAAAGCAAATTAAAAGAATAAAAATTGTATTCATTGTCCTCAGAGGAGACTTTGATGGTGTGGACAGATAAGTCTTTTGCTCACCAGCAAGACTGGACAGCATGCAATATCGTGAGTATAAATACACTGAAGTTTTAAGGGTCTGAAATAACTTCAGTGTTTGTTTTTAACTTCTGTCACTAAGCAGGGTGTATTTTTGGAGCACTTTAAGATCATTGAAAGCTTGAAAACCAATTGACTGTCACAAGAAATTGCCAATAATAGATTTTATGGGTTTCAGTAATTAGCAGTAGAGAGAAGTCCCAAATAAATGTAGCATTGTATGTGTGTTCATCAGCATTAAACTTAAAAAAAACCCCTGTGGATTCCAAGTCAGATGCAATTTCCTTACAAGGTCTTTAACATAAAACAATACTAACAATAAAGAAGTTTATTCTGTACAGTTACTTAAGAGCAGGCTTTGTTAGATGTAAAAATGAAAAGATATTCAGAAATAGGGGGACAAATAGAAATGCATCTAACTCTCCTTCTATGAAGATATGTAAAAGTACTGCAAAGTAAAATAATAATCTTTAGAACAGAACAGACAAATTCTGGGATTCAGATTGGATACATGGCGAGGAGCAGAAAATTTTGTCTCTTAATACATAAAAAAGAACTAGAATAATTAGAGTTAAGTATTTTCAAGGCATACAAGTGAAAAAAAATGGGTTTTCCAGCTTTGCTTTGTGGACACATTGCAAGCTTAATTATTAATACATCTTTGACATCAGGAAGATTAAAAGAACATAAATTGCCTCTTGCATGTCCCTGCCAGCATGCTCAAGCCCAGCACCTGTCCGTCCTTCCATGTCAGGGGAGGTCACTGCAGTTTGGTGTGCCAGGCAGCAGTGCTTCCTGAGCAGGGGGAGCCCGGAGCAGAGGGAATTCCTGCCACAGGGAATTCCATGCTAGCTCCAGCCAGGGGCTATACCCTGGGGCAGGTGACCACCTCCAATTCAGAGCCCAGCTCATAAGGCCTGCAGGCAAACAGAAACCCTTCCCTCTGGATGAGCCCTGGCCTAAGGAGGCACCAGCCTCAGGCTGAGCTTAGGCAGAGTTCAGGAGGGGGAAGAGGAGGTGAAGGCGGGTGGCACAGGTGCGGCTGATCACGGCAATTAAAGCTCATTAACGCACTCGGGGTAGAACCTTTGGTTTGGTCACTTGGCAGAAAGTTTGTTTGCCTTTAGAGCCCCGCTTTTGGCAGGGCTGCTGTGAGACCAAGCCGGAGACAATGCGATTTGATGTGTTTTTTACTGTGTGGGAGGCCATACATAAACTACAGAAAATGTTCACTCCTTTTCTAAAAAGGACTTGTTTTTCTGCAGAAGGGGAATGAGACACACTGCACAGACTTGATTTTTGTCGTGGTGGCTGCAGATAACTTGTAGGCAGTATTTTGGCAAAGGAAAACCTGTTTTGTTAGAGACACAAAATATGGCATGCTATTACATCTACTAACAAAACAATGATGGCTAGAGATGGAAAATATATTAACAATATTATTCCACATTTGGATATAAAACCCTGGAGATAGTAAGCCATAAGTTACCATGCTAATATATTTCATACAAATCCATAGAGTGATTTTGTATACTATTATATAACATTATTGGAGAAGCCCCAAAATTTGAATAAAAAATAATTTTTCTTTCAACTTTAACAATGCTAACCATTCACACTAACCCAGTTATTTTTAAGTATTTTTTCAAGAAGGACCAATAAAAGCCCGTGTTTCTTTACAGAAGTATGATGCCTAAATGTTGTATCTCTTAAATGCTCTCACAAATTAATGTGAGATTAAACACATTAAACCAACAAATGAAAGCATGTGAGACATTGATCAATAAATATGAATAACAGTAATACTTCAAGATGATATGGTTTTATATATAATTTAACAGGCATAACATTTCAAACAAATGTTATGAAGTTTAATCATTATAACTGTGCTAGATGCTGGATTGTACAGGCAAAGGCTGGTTTGAATGTGCTGCCGTGTTAGACATACTTGCCAGTATTAAACAGACTGTAACTATTATCTGTACATTTGTCTCTCTCCAGGGCATTTTTAAGAATATTTTTAATTAGCTTTTGTTTCCGAGCAGTGCTTTCATTTTTCTTGATAAAGCTTTTGTTTTTCCAGGGTTCTATTGAACTCAGATTAGGTTCTACATTTTCTATAGTCATTACAATAAGAATAGGAAGCTTTTAATAATATATGAAAACTAGCAATGACAAGTATTTTACAGTGCTTTCAAATCTAGTTAAGAATAAAATAGTTTAATGGTTACTTTCTTTTATTGTTTTAATTTTGGCACTATCTTGTAGAAACAGTGTTTCCCATTAGGAAATTCAAATAATAGAAGTCTATGAAAAATGAATGAGATGTTGAGCCACCATGACAGAAACTGTACTCTGTAACCTAGGTGCTAATCTTAGCCCTATTAAGAGAAAATAAGAGTTAATAAGTTAACTAAGAGTTAAGTTACTCTACTTTGAATGCTCAAGGAAGAAGGCTCTTTTCCAAGATTTGTGTTCATTTAACCTTTGCTGTATTTGGCTCTTTTTGGGAGTAAATAGATATACGCTAACTTAAGACAGGAGGAGCCATATTCCAAGTGCTGCCAAGTAGATATAAATCAAGGTGTGGCCAGAATGTAGTTTAGGATGATTTCTATCTTTGCATCCCGAGAGCTTGTTGCAATGCTCTGAGC